CAGAGGCGGAATGGACCAGAGGTGCTGCAGAGGTGAAATGGACCAGAGGTGCTACAGAGGCGGAATGGACCAGAGGTGCTGCAGAGGCAGAATGGACCAGAGGTGCTGCAGAGGTGAAATGGACCAGAGATGTGGCAGAGGTGAAACTGACAAGAGATGTTGCAGAGGTGAAATTGAAATGACAGGCCGTGGCACTTTGGATATGAGGGCGAGTAAGGCATCTAGGATAAGCTCAGTTTTGGGCACCAGGAATTTAAGATGTCTATAGGACATCAATTTTAAGATGTCCAACAGACAGGTTAGAGATAGAGGTCAAAAGAGAGGTTAGCACTGGATAAATATATGAGAGTCATCTGCATTGGGGGAAAAAGGGGGGGAAGGAATGAAATGACCATTTATAGAGTACCTACTGTGTGCCAGGTATTGTACTAAACACTTGTTTGATCCTCACAACAACCCTGAGAGGTAGGTGCTATTATTATCCCCTTTTTACAGTTGAACAAACTGAGGCAAATAGAGGTTCAGTGACCTGCCCAGGGTCACACAGTCAGGAAGTGTCTGAGTCTGGACTTGAATCAAGGTCTTCCTAACACCAGGGTGGGCACCGTCTCCACTGCACCACCAGCTGCTTCTGAGATAAAGATGATCATTGAAACCACAGAAGCTAAGGAGATCACCCAGAGAAACAGTTTAGAGGAGAAGAGGGGCCAGCACAGAGCCTTGTGGGACCCCCAGAATGCCTATTTTTTTTTTAGTCTGCCATTGACATTCAAAAGGTTTTGTCTTTTCCTTTGGAACTTTTACTTACTAGATGAATTGTTTCAACGACAACAACAATAGCACATGTTGCTCCAGTGCCTTAAGATTGGCTTCTAAATGTCACCCAGGAGGAGATCCTATTCTCTCTTCATTTTATATAGGAGGAAACCGAGGCACAGAAAGTTATCGCCCAGGGCCACAGAGCTCCTAAATGTCAGAGGCAGAATATGAACCCAGAACTTCTTGCCTCCATCTTGGGTGGCACCACCTCCTCACTGCCTCTGCCCATTCCCCTGCTCTGTGTCTCTGCTATGGATCTTGCTGATAAGAGTCCTAGGCAATGGAATTCTGGGCAGGCTTTCATGGGAGAAGGTGGGGAGGCCAAGGCTCAAGGAGAAATGGCCGCTATGTGATGGTAATGGCCTGAGACCACAGCACAACCTAAAGTTCCCAGAGAGATGGCAAGCCCCAGAGGGCTGACGGGTAACTATGCTGCCCCACCCACCTGCCAGGGAGGCCTGAGGGTGGCCCTGATGCTGGGGGTGGGGGGATGGGGAAGGACCATGGCCCCAGGCATTGCTGGATTTACAAGAACAGTCAATCCGTTGGCCCTGTACCTGGCGACACATTCAGGAAAGCTGTCACCTTTTTAAGAAGGACCTTCCCATTCACCAAAGGACCTAAGACAAAGAAGAAACCCTTGGCGTCCTTGCTAAGACACCCCACTGAAAGAAAAGAGGAGGGGCAGAGAAGTGGGGGCTAAGACACGGAGAAGGACCAGCACACCCTGAAGCCACCCTGCTGAAAGCATGAAGAGGGTCCCCAGAGCGTCAGCACCCTGGTGGGGAGGCAGTGGGGCTCTCCCGAGGGTGGCGGTCTCCAGAATCAAGCTTGGAGCCGATGGACAGAGTCCCACAGACCCAAGTGGGGCTCACAGAATCGGGCACAGATTGAACAGTTACCCTGACCTGCTCAGAGTTTTCCTCCTGCCAGAAGGGTTGGGGGAGCAGAAGAGGAGACAAAGCCAGGACAAGGGCCTCTCCTTCTCCCCCACACCCCAGGCAGTTCCTCCTCGGGGGTCGGCAAGGAAAGGCGCCTTTGGCACTTGGTCTATGGCCTAGGAGCAAACTGACTGCTGAGACATCTTGTCGCTTTCTTGAATGGGATGGAGTTGTCAGTCAGTGACCGGCTGGCCCCTTACGCAGAGGTTGACGGTTATTAGACTGATGAGGGGAATGTCATGCACATAGCACCCCCAAATATCAGCCAGAGATTTGAAGAAGTCTCTCATGTCCTCATGCACCTGATAGACATGAGCTATGTGCAGCGAACTGAGCTTACCGGAGAACTGCACCCAAAGAGTGTTGTTAAATGGGTCCAGGCCAGTCTGAAAGGGACCTGATTTGTATCATTAATGCTGAGCAGACACGGCTGGATGGGGCCCATGGCGAGGATCTGATTCACACAGGGGACATTCGGTGAAGATCTATGGAGAATGACCCAGAATCAAGATTGCCATCAGAAGCCTTTTCCCAATCAGCTGGGGAGGACAAAACAGAAGAGGATGTACGGACT